CTCCTTTTTTCGGTACACATGTAAGAATTTGGGGCGTTCTTCACCGTTACACCGCGCGGGTCTCGGAATTTGCCCTACACTGAGTATGGTACAATTTACAATACCTGCACAGTTTTTCATCGTATATTGCAGAACACTGAATGATTTTTATCTCCTTTTTTTCGGTACACATGTAAGAACTTGGGGCGTTCTTCACCGTTTGCAACGAGTTGGTTTAAAAATCTATACTTTAATAGTTAAAATGATATATTATTTGAAAGAATTAAACCGCAAAACCTAACCTATCGAGAGCTATGGGTGSTTTACTACGAAGCAATCAAAAAGCAGGTTTCGAATGGTGAAGTCTTACCATAGTTAATACTGAAGAATTCCGGAAAGTTTAAGCCCCTAAGATTTACTCAACATCTGTTTTAAGGCTCTAGCATTCTTGGCATATACATGATTCATGGAGCCAACCTGACTAATGGCGATAATTAATCCTAAGCTTAATCAGTCGTCGAATCGTAATTCTCCCCGATGTGTATTTAAGAAGCAATTTACTCACTTCCGTTCCAACATCTGATTTTAGTCACAGGAAAAAGCACTTATTTGTTCGCTCCATTCTCGACTTATGGAATAAAAATCCTGCTCTTAGATAAAGTGAAAAAGCGTGTAATGTTTTTGTCCATTTCAGACCACGTGTCATTCCCTAGAGTATTCTTTGATTAACGGTTRCACATGAGACGACACATGATAATATAGATACTACTTATACAAACAATCTTATTCTCAAGAGAATGACACGTGGTGCGAAATGGGGAAACACCACGCCCAAGCTAAACTGGCTAAAGAGGACTTTTCACTATGCAGCAGACGCATTTTAGTAAACATATATTTATTGTTGCTTAATCTTTCGTTTTTAGTTATTGGAAGTACTTTGGTGGTTACCGTGAACAAGGACCAAGGCCCATCAAAAATTATGGGTTACCTAAGGAACTCGAGAAACTGAACGCTGCCTTTGTATGGGGACGTAATTCACGCACGTACTTCTTCAAGGGGGACAAATACTGGAGGTACAACGAAARATACCGCAAAATGGACCCAGGGTACCCCAAGGATATTTCCACYTGGAAGAAAATTCCAACCAACATAGATAGCGTAATGAAGTGGAAAAACGATAAAACATATTTCTTTAAAGGGAATAAATATTATAAGTTAGATGATTATTCAGTCGAGTCAGAGGTGGGCTATCCCAAGAATATTGCGGTGAAGTGGATGAGATGTGACCAGAGCAAACTTAAAGTTGTCAAGACAACCACAAGTCCTACAGTGAATGCTACGTTTGTGAATACCACGAGAACTTCGATCAAAGCTGCACAGGAAGGAGTTTCAGATTCAGGAGGACAACATGTCCTGCCAAGTATCCTTATCGTCGTGTTTGGCATTCTGACAACTGCAAGATTTATGTAGAAAGGATTTATGGACGACTTCAAAAGGGACAATGTTGAAGCAAGGAGAAAATTCTGAACTCTGGTAATCATGATTCCAATATATCAAGTTAAATAGGTKAATCAATTTAGAAAAATATTATATGAAAATATAGTTTTGCAACATGATTTATAGTAGATATCTTATAATTCCAATTTACTATGAAATTCGTCAAAGAACACAACTTCTAAATGATTCAAGTCGAAATGCAGTAGGTACTGAAATCTACCAAGGGAATATTTATTATCCTTATGAACAATAGAAGACCAAATATGGTCATTCTCGCGCCATTATTCTTATGACGTCACKGCCGCCATATTGGATGATTTTACCGRGAAGACTTTTCGCCGATATTATCCAATATGGCTGCAATTTCTCCATAAACGTCACAATAGATCGGAACTGGACATGAATTAACTTCGTGATACGAAGTGACATGAAATAAAATAATTACAACGATTCCTTTCCACAAGAAAATCGATTAAAAATACCTCTTTTTCAGAGTAATTCACTTCGGGTGAAATAGCAGCGTTACCTCTTTGTTTATATTTCTAATCTGTTGTATTTAGTTTTATTACATTTCGACAAGCAAGTTTTCCATTGATTCCACGAAGCTGTGCCATGAGCTGTACATTTTATAAATATTACTTTAGCAAGTTCGTTTCCAGGGTCCTTCTAACAAGCCATTAGAGGGACCCTGGGTACTAGAATWAAGCCTATTGCAAATATTTCTCAATGTAAGATATTGTAGAAGTATGAGATAAATTGTTTTTATGGATTAGGACGTTACTATGTAACATTTTGTAAAGTTCTTAYGTCAAAGTATTAATTTATTGTTGTATTTATTATATTGCTGTAAAATTATAATAAAAAATTCAGGAATTTTTAAAGRATGTCAGATGCGTCTAATTTCTTMAAAACGTCTAGGAATTGTTTGTTCCGCAGACATTTTACCAGGAAAACCGAACACAAACAGGTTAAGTACGAACAGGTGCTGCAAATTGTTCAAAGAAATGTTCTATTCTTTTAAATCTTTATCCAAATTCCTATGCAGCTGAATCCATGCAGCCCTTATAAACCATATAAATCAATCCTGCTTGGGCTGCCTGTGCTTTGAGCAGAATAAAGTGTCTAGCTTAGCTATAGCGTGACTGATTGGTTAATGACTAAACGAGTGTGGGTTTCGTGGTTTTGACCGTCTTTTGGAACTCTTTACTGACTCATTTTTTCCCCTTAGAAATAAAGAAACTCTTACGACTGTGTTTCAACGCCGGAAAGATTTGGTTGATGACGTCTGTTCCGGATTTGATCAGAACCGAAAAACGTCTGTYTCCCTCTGAACTTCATTACTTCCGGCCAATGAGGAATATGACATGTCTTGAGAAACTTTCATTTCCGGTATGATGTCATCAAGATCCCAATCTTAACCAGACTTCCTATTTCGTGCWTGAAATTATTTCACTTTTTTCTCCATTATACTCTTCCTCTCCCATTTTTGTCGCAAGTGCCACTCGTCTCTCCCAAAACATTTGGGTACTGTCTTCCCGCCCCCTTTGAGAAATGGTTCGTGGATTTTATCAGGAAATGCGTTCGCAAGAAACAAGTTCACCAGCAAACAAAAATCATACTCAAGGGAATGAAACGCTTGTCTGAAATAAGACTCTTGTGGAGTTACATCTATAATRAGATATCAATAAGACTAATTAATACTAAAGGGAATTTAATTTGGGGGGAAAACAGTATTTTTCTATGTCCTTTTCTAAGATAGGAACATGGTTTATTTTGGTCTAGCTTGGGTAAAAACATCTTAGTAACTGCACAAGAATGCCATCTCCCCATCGCTGTTGGTTGCATAATGCAATCAAATGTTTCACAAACAGCTGCACTCACGTAAATCTTACGGGTTCACTAAACGGGTGTAAACAGCTTGTAATCTAAACGACATTACTTCCAAACCACGCCAACGCGAAGCCACAAAGACTCCTTTAAGAAGAGTTACTGCGGTGAACGAAGACACTGAGGGGAAAATTTATCCTCCCAGTAACCAAGATGGCACCCAATTACTTTTAGGAACTTTATTTCTTTACGAATTAAAAATAATAAATAACTTTATTCCAACTCATGAACAGAATCCCAAGTTTGTTAAGATCCCCCTGAGAGCCAAAGTTCGGTCAACAAGACACTGAAAATAATTTCTCTTTAYAGTAACCAGGATAGCACAGTGTTATTTTTACGAACTTTATTTCTTTACGAATTAATTAAACTTTATTTCGAATTATTAAACTTTATTTCGATTTATGAACAGAATCCTAATTTTCTCAGATCCTATTAAAGATCCTACTGAGAAGATCCAAGGTTAATGCGGTCAAAAAAGACAGTGTGGGAAAMTTTCTTATCCTAGAAAACCAGGTTGGTACTGCATGTTATCCTTACGAATTTTATTCCTTTACGAATTGCAGTTGAGTTCGTCAAGACCCCCTGAGAAGTGTGAAAGAGCCAAAGTTCGGTCAACAAGACAGTGTGGGAAAATGTCTTTTCTGAGGTAACCAGGTTAACACTCTGTTATCTTTACGAATTTTATTCCTTTACGAATTACTGATCACAATCCTTGGTTTCGTCAATTTATTAATTAACCTTTGTTGCGGTCTACAAAGGGCAGCAAACACATGGCCCATTACGAGGATCATTACCCACTTGCTGATCGTAATCTTTCTTTACAAAATCCTTTTAAGTAAATACTTATAATATTTCATAGTTTTTTTAATACAATTTTTAAATTCCCTCGATTTCTAGCACGACTTCTACCAGTACCGACTTCCATGTGGGGTTTCCTTTCTTGTCTAATGTAACAAATATCAGTCTTAACATTTCCAGGGGAATTATTGAATCCAGTCTTGTATTGGCCCATTCAGTTAGGGATGAACTATTAGATAATTGAGGGGGAGGTTGCAGGAATTTATGTTGTACGATATTTTTTGTAAAAACCCAAGCACGCAATTTTTTTGTGTTTGCTGGATATTTCTTTAATAAAAGGAGAGGTTGCACGATATATTTTCGTAGGTGAACTACTTGCTCGATATTTTTTGGGGGGATATTTACGCAACCCCTCCACAATTATCTAATGGTYTCTCCCTTACAGCATAGCTAAGGGGACGCAAAGCGCGCGGCAGTATCAAAGACAATATTCTAAACTTTTCCGTTATGCTTCTCTTCTATCACTAGACAAGAAAGTAAACCATTCCTAAACTCTATGCACCAGCACTACAGACCATCATCTCTACGTYTATTTACACCTAGTCAACTCAACTATCTAGCAGATTTTATAACTTATAACAGTTTGATGGCATTAATCAAATAGGAAAGGCAAGACGACCAACGAATAGACGTAATTAGTTCAGTATCTTTTAAATTTCAATCGTCACAAGAATAGTTCGACGGCTTCGACTAATTTGGCAGGAAAAATGGCGCCTTTTTTCGTACAGTGGCAAAACACCGCGTTACACCAATTTGACCTCCAATATCACGTGACAAGACCAAGACCTTGAGCAGTGTCATGTGACAAAATCACGTGACATAATACCACAAAACTATCACTTTCTTGCAGCTTCATTTGCAAGGTTTGGAATGTTAGACAACGGTTGCAACACAAGTAGGAAAACTGGACGAAGGTTTTCTTCTCAAAAAAATACATGGCCATTCCAAATACTCTTTGATGCACCAATGGCAATTACCAACAGATCTAGAAGATTCCAAGTGTCCATTCAGTAGTACACCGAGAGCCAAGCTCAGAAATAAGAGCCGTAAATAATGGATGTCCAAACGCAAATGTCCAGTGAAAAGCATGGCACAGGTATCCCACCAGAACATCCACAGGCATAAATAAGAGTAGTCCATATATCCATAGGGCACAATTAATGATCGTTGTATAAGACTATTAACCAGTAATATTTGTGATATTAAGGACAATTGAAAGGTGCCTAGCAACACGTCTTGTTAGCCATCTTCCTCCATATTATCGACACTATTAACTATTAGTAATAATCGTTAAYAATTCATTCCTTACCAATAATTTATGATAGACTTCTGGAATTCATATAGTGTCTTCAATCACCAATTTGCTAAGAATGCCATCATGTCTTTTGGTACCTCAGATTGCATCAATGGTGTCTGAAAAGGAAAATTATTAATATTGTATGTCTGAAACCTTGTTTTTGCAGGTGTTTTTTATTCAGATTTCTTTGGGGAATATTCTGTAATCGTCAGTTTCTATCGACGTGCCGTTCTTGAGCCGTGGAATGCAATACTGGGGAAAAAAATATTCAAAAACACAAGATCCTGAAGGAGACCAACGAAGTATGGTCGAAACCTCGATCGAAACTGACGATTGCAGAATATTCCCCACAACATTAAGAACGAAAAGAAGTATTCATTATTAAATCAAATGATTAACTTCTCATAGGGGGTAGTCAGAGAATGTTAAAGGGATTCAAGACTGCCATCTATCTACCTTATCATCTAATCCCCCTCCCCTCAATCTCATTCGTCGGGACTCGGAGACCAAGGGACAAGATCAAAACAGTGGTCCAAATTGTAACCCCATTATATTGATTTCGGTGCTAGGTACCGGTAGATATACAGTGTACCTCTTGTCTCCTTAAAGAACATTTGAAATGCTAGATACTGGTGTCCATCTTGACTATTTCTATAGACAAATGCGTTGTCTAGATTTACAAATCTGTACATTTATATGTGGGATTTGACTTTTAGTTTTGCAGACTTTGGAGGACAAAATCCTGGATTTGGTTTCCAGGGGTGGTGGCTGCCAAGTAACCCCACCCCACCCATGATGATAATTGTTTTGACCTTATTCCCGTAGCACCACTACTACRAATACTACTAATACTTTTGTTGGATAGCTGAATACTGTAACGCACAACCGAGAATAAGGCTGAGAAAAGAGAACTCGAAACTGGAGTATTAATTCTATTTTTCGTCTATCTCATTTCCATTTATTTTCATTCGTTTTAATAATATATAAATAATATTCTTACCTCCTCCGAGCTCTTTTCCTCTCTTCTCCCGTTCGATCTTTCTTCCTTTTCAGGCTGTTTTCCTAATTTTTTCCCTCTTATTAACGGCGCATCGCTATCATSCGATGATCCCGAGCTTGCTTTACTACTTCGTCTACTACTTCGTCTGCTACTTTCCTTACTGGTCCCTTTAGAGTTAACCTCTACTTCGATGTCCTGGAATTCCTTCCTGGACAAGGGATCAGATCCGTGTGTACTGACTGTTCGGCTAGAGTTCTTGGACCCATTTTTGTCCTGGAATTCCTTCCTGRACAAGGGATCAGATCCGTGTGTACTGACTGTTCGGCTAGAGTTCTTGGACCCATTTTCGACGAGATCTAGAGGGAATTTCTTTYTTATTCTATAATCTGGGAGCGGTTTAAAATTTACTTCATCCTGCTCTGCAGCTTTCTTGACTCTCTCTTCTAGCTCTCCTTCCTCTAGAATCCGCAAATCTTCTTGGCTCTAAAAAATATATAAATTACAATTTGATAAGGGTACTTTTAGGTATTATGCTATAAGAAAACTAGTTGTAAAAGACCACGTTTCGCTGTCATCTCGACAACGACATCATAACTACTGTTTATTCATAAAGTATCTACGAGCGCTMKYTTTTACTCACACACTTGACTATTGCATTAAGTACTCTAAATAGCTCTCACCTCTTACCCATGAGGGACGGTACTCCCATATATAGCCTATACRAGGATGTTCCGCTAGTTATAAGGCATGKTTTTTTYYCGGGATTTTGGTACAAAGGGTATACGTTTTCCAAGATATTGTCTTGAACAGCAAGTCGTTATTGGATGGGTTAGCGCCWTTCATCGTTTTCGAGTCTTAGATAGGGTGTTAAAATTCAGTGTTTTAGCGYGTAATTTTTTAGCGCACAATTCCGGACAACGCCTTCAACGCTACTATACTATAAAAATTCTTTTAGGTCTTAGATAGGATAATAAATTACRTGGTTGTGTATTGAATAGGGTATGTTATTTAAAAGAGATTGTCTTGTCAGAGGATAGGTTCAAGGTTTTCCCATCCCAGCAGAACATTCCTATTACTGAATCACCCCTAGTACCCCCTGGGGCAATAAGGTTGAATTGTTGGGAAGGAAGGAAAACTTGTTGCAAGAGAGACAGAGCCCCCTTGTATAGACAAATATCTTCACAATGGATCCAATTCGATAGAAAAACTAACCAAAAGTCTAAAATGACATTTGCGATGTTAGTGAATAAGACATCTCATGCTTTTAATTGTCTAGACGTGCTTTATCAGGAATATAATGCATGGGTCTAAACATCTGTGACTAACCATATCTGAATCTCACTAAAACGTACTTCCTGTGTYAGTGTGTCTCCAAATTAAGTAACCACAATATCTTCTTCCAACATTAGTATCCTAACAGACATAACAATCTTGAGATATTGTCTCGTGGATTCTATCTAATAATTGAGTGACAGATCTTTCCTGAACTTGCAAACTTAACCAGAAAATACTTGCTAAAATTTGGCTAAGATTTTTGATTTTTTAAATGTATTTCCTGGATTCTAACTATCTKTTGGGATGTGTGTAAAACTTATAAGAAAGTAATATTTTACGACCATCACTTCCCATAAATTTGCTTCACACACACTACCATTACATGTTTTTTCCATTTCAGTCTGGCATCTTAATATTATTCCTTGGGATAAAAACATTTTAATCTATTGATTCTCTCTTTTGTTTTACTGAGGGAAAAACCTGAAAACCTGAATGGCTCTTAAAGGATTTAACTATTAATGTGGCTGAAATTGGAAAACATTGTTCACAACCTATTAAGCTAGTCAAGGAACATTAACTCTTATGAATTAATCATTGGAGCTTTTCTRGCAAATGGCTTTGCAACCCAAGCTATATATTGTAAAGTTGCCTAACATTTTTCTACTATAAATATCTTATTAAGTTTTAAATTGTAGAAGACAATGAACTAGACGGAGAGTCCTGCCAGGGCCCAATTGYTCAAAGCCCGCTTTGTGCTAATCCTGGGTTAAGTCTTAATAAGACCTATAGAGTTAATCCTGGATTAGAGCTAATCCAGCTTTGAACAATCCRGCCCAGGGTTTTAAAATAATAGGAGAAGATTATGGTAGTTTTAAGCCGAAGAATTTTTCTCAGCTACTGGAGCATTATCTGATTATGCAGCAGCTGTTAGTGCCATCACACAACGGTTTTCTGTAACGCATTGTATGATGATGTTAACAGGGGCTGCAAAGGAGTCTACCTAACACTATGTTCACAACTGAGAGTTAAGGCTTACAATTGTACTAAGGAACTTTGTAGTCAGCATATTTCTAATGAGAGCTYAAATATTACTGCCTTTATTCAGTGGCTGATCAAGGATTGTATTTACAACATGAGCCGATGGGTGCACCATTTATCATGAGGTCATTCACAAACATAAATACAAATAGTGCAGTGCACATCCTTAAATAATGCACCCCCAGCACCCCTCCCCTAGGTCGCCCCTGGTTATTGTTTGCTAGATTATCTTACCCTTGATGCCCATGACCATGGCGAGGARAACTGATCTCTAGAATGAAGCTCCTAAAAGAAACAGACAAGCAAACACAGATTAATGTACAAAGCCTTATAAAAGATTCTGGTTAAAATATGAGGTAGCTAGTATTCCCAAGGGTTGGTTAGTGTCTGAGCACACCAAGTGTGAATCTGGGGAGGTGGGCCCCTCTCCCTCCTTAATTCAAATTTGCTCTGGATCCTCCACTGCAAACATAATTCATGTGGGTACCTTTTGTATCTTAAATAACACGCACATGCTTTAATTCTATTTCTTCAAAAATGAGAAACTGAAAGAGTGTGAATGTGATCCATCCAATTGCAATGAAATCTGGTTAGTACCATGTCATGTGATGCAGATACCTCTCTGCTCTTTAACATATGTGTTTCTAAATAATGCCTTGTCACTTGTGTGGGAAAACTTCCATAATAACCATTAATGGGAGTTTTATCAAAAATGACAAAAGCTGTTACTTTAATCCATTCTAACTTTATTTTAAATCTTTTCCCTGACGACTTATTTAAAATAGTGACAAAAACTTGATGGATACTTCCTAGATAATTTTTCTATGAAATTGTTTTAATAATTTATATAGTTTTCAAAGATTGAGCATTTCATTGTCAAGACCCTATATTTTTAATGTACTTGATATTAGATAAATGAGTTTTTAATGTATGAATTTATAAATAGCAATAACAAAGACTATTTCAGCGAAGAAAGCATGACATGTAACATACAGTAACTTGTTTGTAAGCTGGATATTATGAAGCCTTCGTTGTACTGTTGAAAAAATTAAGACTCTAAGCTTTGGAATTAGTACTGACGATTAATTTAAAAAAATATGAGAATCTTTTAGAAACTCTTTATAAGTGTTAATAAACATGTTGGTATTCTTACTAGGTAGTTTATATAAGATTCTTCATTTAGTTACAGCTTAAGGGAAGGGATCTCATTGCAACTAAAAGCTGGATTAGATATATGACTGTTGAGTTTGTTTATTATTTATTTTTCAACTCAGTTGTCTTGGAGAGAGCACTTATTGTCACTACTAGACACATCTCACAATGAACAGGAACTTACTAGCTTATGTCTATTAATTTTTTTAGGAAAAAACCTTAAACTTCGCTGGTTGTCATGGTAATGTGAAGTATCTATTAATAATACCCTCAGGAACYATTTTGTTAAATAATGAACCAAGTCTCTYAGGAAAACGATAAGCGTTATTTTATGCATCATATTCACTTTTATTCTATTAACACCATGTAGTTACGGCAAAATATACCTATTTCAAGAAARGCTGTCATTGCCAAAGGYRATAGGCAAAAGCCAAAAAGCRATACGGAGGAAGGTCATTGTACAGTAAGRTYCAAGAAYAGCTGGAATGATTTCTGCTTTTTATTCTGGACCTTAGTGTTGAGACTGACTGTTTTTTGTATTCAACRAAACCCTTTCCATTTTGGAATAACCTACTCCTATTGTCTTTGGCAATAATGTTTTTTGAAATAGGTGTAAACAGCAACAGTAATGGCCATGAATATGCTTTATCACTTCCCCCTCAATACAAAACCTGGCCTCTAATCACAAGCATCAAAGTGCTGATGTTGCAGTTTTCCTGGTTACTAATTGCTGTCCCTTGAGGGAGTATTGTCAGTAGTAAAACATCTTTGATGGATGCTGATGACCTCAAAACCTCCCTTTCATCTTGTTATAAATATCTTTGTTGATGATTGTTTGGAACTGAAAAACAACTAGAAGTACCCTGAATGCCTATTTTTAGATTAATTAATTTTAATAATTTCTTAATTTCTTAATTTCTTATTTTTGAGAAAATTACACATCTATCAGTCTAGTAAACACCATAAATTAAAAAAGAATTATCATTAATATTCTATAAACACAACTCTTGCATCTTGTTTGTTATGGAGGGAGGAAAACTGGAGAAAAACCTTTCATAAAATAGGAGAGAACAACACATCCAACAAACCAAACTCATATACTACATTTGGGGGGACTCAAATACAAGCCTCGCATAAACGTCAACCACCCATGCTACCCTGCAGTACTTATAGAGAAAAAAGAAGCAAATGARTTGGAGGATTACTGTACTCCAGGTAATTTTGTAAGTGGTCTGAAAGTAATGAAACTTTCAGAAAGCATTTAGAAAGGGGAGAAATTTTCGGAATTACCCCATCTAAACGATATCCCCACACGCACTTATTAAAATAATGTTCCTGTTGTAACAGAGTTGGTAAGCAATGTCTGATCTACAAAAAAATCTTTCCACTTTAAAATTAAAAAATCATTCATCATAAATTTATCACTGACATAAGTTGCATTTTAGTGATAAAACTGAATGATAAGTATAGGAATCTTAGTCAAAATACATGCCAGAGATCACGCTTTCAGATCAAAGGATTTTCTTATTTTCCATACTTATCCATTGTCTGTTCTTTGAGTGAGTTTAAACTAAATTTATCTGAGAGTATCGATTAATTGACAGATGTATCAATACTGAAAAGGATTAGCTTGTAAGTAAGCATCCATTCTCCCCAGTTAGCACCACAAATGTTACCATTTTCATGACTCTTATCTATTAATAACACACAAATCTTTTATTTTAGACTCTCTCTATTTCCATAGCAACATTAATTTTTTAACAGATATCATAAATTGCTGAGCATAAATTTTCATGGTTGGATTGCTATCCCCACATGTAGCTTTCCATGTGGCATTATCTCTTTTGTTTAGCACAAACTTTCTTTAATAATATTACATGCTCGGGTAACCATATACTTATACAGTAGACTCCATGACTGACAGAAAATTATCCATCATCGATATCTGTATTTCTTTCCGTTCCACCAGTCAAAACTTCTTATAACTTGAGGGGAAATTAAATTACGTAAAAAGATATCTCTAAAAAATTAGATGAAAAGGCAAAATCTTATTCCCAATGTTTCTAGTTAAAAACCAGACAGAATTAGGGGAAAACACAGTTTAGGAATCAAATCTTAATCTCAACTCTCTTACCACAATGTTTAGACTAAGAAGGCATGATCAATGATTTTTGGTACTGAAATATTTAGAAAAATGTTTAAGAACATATATCAGTGTTTTGCCTTAAGCATATGAAAAGTTTGGATATTTTTGCCTTTTCAAAAATTACAAGAATGTGAATTTTTTCCATTTTGTCAATGAAAAATAATTATAAAGATCTAAAATTTTGGCAGACAAAGACTAGAAATATAATAATTATGACCAATAACTATTTCTTCATGAGTAAAACAACAAATCTCAAGTATTTTCATCTTTTTTTCAAATGTAATGTTAAGCATATGAAGGATAAAGAATAAAGATCTGAAATTTCGGTAGACRAATCCCACAATTATAACCAATAAAGTTATTTTATGATATGAAAAATGAACATTGACTATATACCATAAGGGATAAAATATTTAAACCACAACAATAACAGCCAAAAACTATTGTGGATTCTTCAGATTTATTCATATAAACTACAATGTGGGATAATGGTCAATCTTTGTGCTGCTTACAAATCAATAAAAGGTGCCAAAATCTTGTAATTTAGAAGCAGTACAGACGTGACTTGAATACATATCATATATATTAAGAATTCCAACTATTTGATTAATTTTTCAAACTTCCTCTCACATGTTTGGACAAGATGGGTAATAATCAAGTCAACTTGTTTTGAGATATTTTTTCATCAAGGTAGATGTGGTTTTTGTTATTGTTATTTTGAGACAGGTCTTTTGGTGATATTTTTTAATGTCTTTATATTAGGCCAAGAGGGAATAGAGAGATTTAAAAAATCATATTCTTAAAATATATAAGGTCAAGAGGCTGGTCAGTGAGAATTAAGAATTTTTTCTCCTTATTTATTGACAAAAATAAAAATAGTAAAATGGATGTAGCAACAAGTAAGACAGACAAAAATGAATAAAACATAGAGTAAAACAGGAAATCAACCCAAACGTTAAAAAAATCGACTATGCTAAATTAATAATATTTCACATTCTTAACAACAAGAACCTTTTTAGTGAAGGAATTTTGGGGTGAGATTGAATGGGATTTGTTCAGTTGATTTGTAGGTGTTCATGATTTTGAAGTTGACAATCCAGACAGAGTTTGATGTAAATTTGACTCGAAAGAGACGCTTCTTTCTAATACAATATTCATTCAGATCAGGTGTTTTCGGTTGAAGTTTGTTTGGAGTAAAAATCTTATTTGTGAGCTAAGACTACTCATTCCTAGCTTTCGTCAAGGGATTTGTCAATAAAAGCTAAATATCAGAGCGTGGAATCCCATCCCAGGTAGACGCCTCCCTTGTTCATAAGGTCAATATACCCTATGAAGCATAAATTCTATGGTTTTATAATATAGTTTTAAGCCTACCTGTAAGGTGACAGAGGTAATACTATCGCGTGGATTAACAAGGTTCAGTTTGTTCCCTTCAGAATCTGATAGACCATGAGCTAGCTTCAACACTGGAAACCACTCGGGCTTAGCATCAAACCTTGCCTCTCCATACTTCTTACGAATTTTAGGGTCTACTATTTTATCGTCTATTAATTTGTCTTGTTGCTCAGGGCTCAGCTTCGCCCATTCGTCTTTGTTTTCTTCAATGACTTGGCGATGTTCGGCTATAATACGACGAGTCATGCTATTCAATGACTCAAAATACGACATAGCATATTCGTTCATATCCCCGACTTTCTCGTCTAGGTTCTTGTTCTTGGGAGTGAAGTCGCATCTCTCCATTTTTAGGGTTTCTTCAGATGATGTGTGGCATCCATTAGTCAGGTTTGCCGCTAGTTGGTCCAGTTCTTGGAGCTCCACTTCCACTTCCGCCGCGTCCGCCATCTTTAGTTCTTGTTTGGGTAGACCGTCATGCAGCATGGAATAAAACAAACATATAACGAAAATCCTGATTGGCCAAACTGCACAAAGACAACCAATCGAATATCTTCTATTATTTTAATAATTAAAATTTTCTTAATCAATCACAGAGAGTGTAATATTTGCGTGATCTTTCCGCCAATCAGTACCGATGTTAGAAYAATTATTTTGCTCCTTAGTTTCAAATCAGGAAGAGAAGATGAGGTGTTTTGTATTTCAAATGGGGTGGGATAAAGGGCTTTTATAGAGTTTTTTTGTGACATTTTACCCATTATATTGGACCTGAAGGGAATGGAGGAAACGGTTAACGAAGAAGACGCCCAAAAGCGCCCCAATCGGGAGGAAAATTCCAAAGAAAAGACGAGAAATTCTATAACATCTAAGCATGTTGCGGTGTTCTCATTTCTCGTTGGGATGCTAAGTGTTTTGGTCTACTTTATTGTGGTCGATCCCCTCCTCCTACCACAGGACATGTCAAGCAGTTTCTACGATATTTATGCAGCTGGTGCAGATAACATCAGTCCACAGGTGCTGGATCTTTTTATGAGCTACGATGAAAACCTCGATGGAAAAATTAGTGTAAAGGAATTTGTCCCGATTGCTGAACGACTTCAAGGAACTCAGGTGAAGAACACCTCAGTTTTATCTCTTTAATACTCTCTTATTTATGATCTTTTAGCTTTATCTTTATCCTAGTAATTTACCCTCAGATGACATAAGTTTCGAAAACAATTGAAAATCACGATTACTTCATAAATATTTAATTTTGATAAAGAAAACTGATAAGCTCGAGCTCCCTGGGAGACTTTGCTCCTTAGGGCTTTAAGCTTAGGATTCTCCTTTGGTATATGTTATGGGTTTATAAGCATTTAAGACAGGTTTTTATTTCTTTTCTTCTGAGTGCCACTTACTTTTTGCATGAAAAAATAATCAAAAGTTAAAGTGTTTCAATTAAGTTTCTTTATTAGTATGAAATTAATTGAATAACAAATTAACAGAATAAAGAACAGCTGTACTTATATAAGTGGTTCATATCATACTCATATTATATTGTTGCTAAAAACCTCTGTATCGAAACAAGATTTAGACAAAACAACTCTCATACTTATATTTTAATCCTTTGAATTAAATTAAAAATCTGTCTAAATGCTAGTACATCGYAAATGCAGCTTGTCAATTTTTTAATATCATGTATCAGAAACGTGTTGAGACTTGCTTGGAACCTAGTCCATGTAATCCTTAATTTAAGGGGGAAACTTGTGTTATTGACATTTTGGGGCAAAATATTTGCAGTGGAGAGTTTCAGAATAACAGCTTCCCCATCCTAGTGGTTTTGAATGGTAAATTATTTGTTCATACGTGGGTAGTGCAGGAAAGCAGGAGGGAGGAATGGGRGAAGGCGTAGGAAAGAGAGTGAAGGGAGAGAGAACTTAAAAAGGGAAGGCAGACCAGATTTTTTTAAAAAAAGGTCGCTCTTTTAAAGATCTTTGACCATTCAAAAAGGTTTAAAGTTTATTGATAGTTATCTTCTCTGAAGTCCCTACCCTGCCTCCAATGATTGAAACTTTTCCTGATATAGTCTTGTTAATATCACAGTAGCTATGGACCTTAATCACATGGTCACATCTCTCATGAGAATAAAAATCTTTGTTTAGCCCTTTGTTTTATGAGTTTATTCTCAAGCACTTGAATGTGAGGCAAAGCATGGTGGAATCTATTGTTTGAACCAACATGACTTCTGCTTGAAATAAGCCCATTTATGACTAGAATCTCCAGTTACTGCTCTTTGCCTGGAGGTTTTGGGGCCTTGATATCGATTTTCTATGATCTGCATCTTACTAATGATTTTTATCTATAACTTTTTAGGAAAGTCAATTCTTGTCAACGCCTCTTGTTGAAGAGGATTGGGACTGGAGTGGAGAACAAGTGACTCTAAATGGTTCCTTCAAACCTCTTGTTCTATCTAGCATGACTAAGTTTTCAAGTTCTCCATATCCTGTAAGTACGTACAGAGTATTTGGCATTGAGGAAATATGTACTGGTATCTCTTAATTGAATTAATAAAAATATTAATTAAATACTTTTGAAATGCCCCTTGCTAATAATTTTAATTCTAATAATATAAAAGTTTGATGTGCATTGAATCTCAACAGAAAAAAACACAAAAGAATTATTGCTATATTGACATTAATTTTATTTACCGGCCAGGTGGTTCAAATAAGGAAAAACTATGATAAGGATTCTGGCGAAGCTGAAAAAAAAAAGACCTCTTGCAATTCCAAAAGGAAAAAAAACGCAATAATTCCAAAAGGAAAAAAAAMCAGACTTTGAGAAAGTCTATATGTGGGTATAAAAATAATTTAGAATTTTTGTTTTATAACAAAGGGATATGATAAGCCAATAGAGGGATTGAAGGCCTGGACAAAAATGGTCACTCCACAAGCAACATTTCCAGTTAATGCATTTTCCATCTTTCTTCCGCCTGACAACACTCAAGTAGGAAYGCCCTGGTACATCATTGAACCACGAATCTCAAAATATGGTGAGTTTGCTAAGAAGTTTACTGTGAAGTTTTTCCACTCTCATTGCCCACAAGCAATACAACTAAATTTATTCATACATGTTGATTTGGCCAAGGAAGGAATATTGATCCAGGAGTAAAATTGACAGGTTCGTCACCCACCTTCCTCTAAAATACTTTTTCTTGGGGCTTCTGAAATTCCTGTGGACCTCTGTAGCACACTAGAATGGTTATATATTATTTTAATAATTTTTAGGATTTTTTTTGTAATCAATCCCAGGTCCTACGTTGTCTAGTAATCGCTACATCCCTCCACCAGTACGAGGAAAGGCAGGCATCATCCACCATCTTCTTGCCATGTTTCACCCCAGACCTTTTATTTACACAAGGTTTGGTCCACAAGGGACAGCTGCTTGTATACAGGCAGAGAATAAAAAATACTTGAAAATTTCATTTAGGTTAGAATTTCAATTACTATGTTTSGTATACTTTCACCAACTCACACTCTATATAAACTCACAAGATCAGAGTGGGTGGTACATGCTGTCTATGCCTAAGCCATAGGGGAGGGGGTGCTCACAAACCCACTTCTCACTGAAGCATAACATGAGCCAGGGAATACATAGAGCAAGAGGCAAATGGACTTTAACGTGAGCCGGGGAGTAATGTAGAACAAGAGGCAAATGGACTTTGACAATGTCTGATTTTTTTTGTTTGCAAATCTCTGAACAGAATCCATGCAGAATTCCAGGTGAATCAACCACCTCTGTTCCCATTTTGGTTCTCCCCAGCACAGTTTGCTGGAACCATTATCATCAGTAGAGATGGATCCCACATCAAGTCATTCAATATGGCAGTCCCTGCTAACAAGAGTCTCAATGTTGGTGGGTACAGAGTAAAACTTGCTTGCGTGTTTTGACCCCTTGCAGCAAGTTGGAATGCAGCTCAATTTGGAGGACATAACGATCGATTTTTTCCGAAAACCTTTCCAACCTCTGCTAGGAGCTTGATAAATGGTTCAAATGTTACTTTATAAAAGTATTAAAATTAATGACAACACATTTTTGCACCCTGTTTCATTATGATTACAGATATGGAGTGGATGTTGAGCAGAGCAGATGATAACCAAGGAGAGCAAGATCAAGGTAATTTAGATGATATAAAGTAATTAACTAGTAATATGTGAAACAATGAAGGCATAAATGAAAGAAATGAGAAAAATTCCAGATGGAATTAAGGTGCATTTCTTGTTCTCATAATTCTAAAAGTAGATTGGAATTTGATTTAGAAACTTTGTTTTGTAGGGAAAGCTGCAGATGGTAGTGTAAGCCAAAGAAATGAAGTGAGCATGGAAGTTGACATAGGTATGGTATGAGAAAAAATGGGAAGAATTTTTTAAATGGGAATCCCATAGGATAGTCTTCTTTTTTTATACTGTAAAGAATAACAAATTCAATCCTTTAGAATAATGATGATGATAATAATGATGATGATAATGATAATATAATAATAATAGTAATATACAGTATAAATAATAATAGTTAATATATAGTAATAATAGTAAATACTTCTGGGCATCCAGAAGTATATACTGCTATATAATAATTATTATAATGATAATTTTCTTAGCATAGTACACACATTTGTTGTAAAGCAATATTCAAAAATCAAAAATCAGCAAATCCTAGGCAGAGCCCACATTGTTGTAACTTAAGAAAATAAAGGAAGAAATAAAGATACCATAATATTTCTTTATAGACATAATATGTTTTACAGCCTTGCTGATGTGGTCGTGTGTTGAATTACATTATGTGATGATGTCTGACTGATAATCCCTTATTTCCTTAAGGTTTTCTTCCTCAAATGGAGTTAAGGAGTTTGGGTCCATCAGTATTGAAAGAAAATGAAACCCTGGATGACAAGAACCCTGAACCAAAAGGCACAGCCACTGACGAACAAGAAATGAAATGGGAATCAGAGATAACAAAAGAGAAAGCAGAAAACATCCTAGCTGCATATTTTTATCCATTCAAAAAGGTACATGTACAATGATTGCACATTTAGAAAGGAATAGATAATCAGTACACACCACGTGTGCTTCAGCATCCCTTCTACTGAACTCCTGGCATCACGGGTAGACTTTGTTAGGTCTCTCTTTTAATTTGAGGGTTTTCCTCCCAGTTCTCTGGTTTTCCTCTCTCTGCAAAACCTAACATGCTAACTCCAATTAGATCTGTAAGTTAGTTGTGCCTTGACTCATAGATAAGCCCATAGGTTGTTTCAGTGTTGGGTCTGTAAGTTAGCCATGCCCTGACCTAGATCAGTCCAGAGGTTGTTTTAAGGAATGATCTGTATGTAAGTTAGCCATGCCTTGACTTTGATCTGTCCAGTGGCTGTGTGTGGGTTTTATCTAAGAGTTATTGATGCCCTGACTTTGATCAGCCCATAGGCCTCTTCAGTATTGATAAAATTTGATGGATTTTTCTGCTTGGAAATTTGTTGCCATCCACAGGCAGAAACCAAGGTCCCTGTTCTCTTAAGAGTAACAATTAAAATCAAGTAGAAAATACCATAATTAATTTTCATTTCTTCACAGGTGACCTATCATCCATTCAAGGAAGCCTTTCAACTGGCCAAACAACAAAACAAACTAGTGCACCATATTTTACTTTGGGGTGCTCTAGATGACCAGTCATGCTGAGGTACTGTCCCATTCCCAAGATGTCGTGAGCATTTGCAAAGATTAAGGCTTGTCAGCACAAAATATATATTTAATTAGTTCTCAAGAAGTTTTGTCTTTGACAGTTTGTTTATAAAATGGTATACTGTTCAGTTGCCTGTCAAAAATAAAAGTTAGCAAGAACGCTTTCATATTTTGACCTGCCAAGCTTATCTTGGCACGTTGCCTTGTTATGACGCACTAGTCTTGGTCACCACATCACTGAAATGAACTATTACTGAAATACGAATTACGTAATACTGTTTTTATGTTTAAGTTAGTAGGGGTACTGGAGTCTGTACTCATGCTTGTCATCTATCACTATGCTTGAAACATTGCCGTTATAATAAATGTATTTTATTTACATTGTATATGTTATTTATTATCTTAATATTGTTTTACAAGTCTAACTCTGAAAACCAAGCTCACCATTTATGAACCATTGTTTTTCTAGGTTCCGGGCGGACACTCCGAGAAGGCCCCTTGGAGTGCCGCCCTATTGTCAACCTCTTGATGAACAATTTCATCAACTGTTGGTCCCTTGTGGAGGAGCTCAAGGTCAAGTGTTTGGCATTAATATGAAGTATTTTTATCTTTGAGTATTAAGTGTCCCTCTAGGGGACTGTATGACCTTTGATGGTTTAATGCCCAAAATATATAACTTACCCGTAATAACATTATGCAGCAGTTAGAGATTCCGAGCTTCATATGTACACTATTGTGCCAAGAGAATGTCTTATTCTTAGCATATAGAGCTTTTAAGTTGTGATGTTTTTCCAGGTCCAACTGCTCACAAAAATTGCTAGGAAGAAGCAAAAAATGGTCTCAATGATTTAGTATCCACTTGAAACAATCAAAACTTTGTCAAAAGTCTCTAGTCAGTCAATACCTGTAGTACTGCTTCTCTCTTTGGACCTGAAGGTAATTAATTCCATATGATTAACATCACACTTGAAAGCTCTATAAGCTTAGCAGGGACTAACTTACTACTCACTACCTTAGGGGTACTCCTTTATTACAAGGCTGCACTGACAGGCCAGAAAGTGTCTTGTAGTTACTATTAATAGGTATAGTTGTTATATTGTTGGAACACAAGCTAAGTGAAATCTAAATGTGATGAATTTCCTTTCATTAGGGTTTGGCCAAACATAAAGATGATGTAGAGACAGCAAGGCTAGCACAGATGGCATTAGACAGCTACAGGTACTGTGAAGGATGGTGACAATAGTTTTCTTTTTTGTTCACTTGGAAGTGTGGTTATATTAAGTCACACTTACAGTTTATTTAGTAATTATTGAGATCAAATCAACAGTGTTCAACTGATATCTATGATGGCGATTGGTGTTGGTTTGATTTCCCTTTTCAGACCCCCATGTCATTCCCTACAGTATCATTTCTTTGTTTAACGGTTGTGCATAAAAAGACACATGAATATGGATATAACCTAAACAAACAATCTTATTCCCAAGAGAATGACAAGTGGTCTGTAATGCCAGAAAAAAATTATGACCAAGGTAGAGGTCTGCTAAAGATAAGTAAAAAGACTTTTCACTGACCACAGTTTTTGATATGGCAAATCATCAACAAATGACAAACATGTGACCATCATCAGAAAAACGAGGAACAAGTGACAAATAAGATATTACCTCAATCGTTTTTTTTATAAACTTTACGAGCAGGACAGTTGTTCAAGAGTGAGTGCAGACTTATTTTGTAATATTTTACAGGTTTCCTGTTGAATCAATGGTCATGATGCCTAATGGCACACTAGTAAATAGGATGAATGCTAATTCCCTGATGAATGTGGGAGATGAAGAAGCAAATAAAAGGGACCAAGTCCAAGTGTAAGTTATGAGATTAACATATTAAGATAATGCCAAATGTTGGTGGTTTTTAAAACAAGATTACATTTTAAATGAAATATTTGGGATTTACCAGCTGTGGCATTTCTACAGACTGAGTATAGGTCTTCATCCAATGAAATCCCAATTGGAAATTAGAAGATTATCTGAAGAGGCAGAGGGAGGAAAATCAGAGAAGCTGGAGAAAAACCCTCAGTACAGGAGAGAACCAACAAGTAACTCTACTCACAAACCAGGGTCGCATTGGCGAAAGGTTGTACACCACCACACCACCCATGCTTCCCATCACATAGGAGTAGATTTTGTTGGGTTATTCCTTTGATTCGATGGGCTTTTTATCTTGGTTGGACCCTGGTTTTCCAGGAAAACATTTTCCCTGCTCAAGAAAACCCAACACACTAAATTCCAATTCAGTCGGTGACATTAGCTGTGCCCTGACTTTGATCAGCCCAGAGATTGTTTCAGGGTTCCATCTGTGAGTTAGCCGTGCCCTGACTTTGATCAGCCCAGAGGTTGTTTCAGGGT